CAACACTGCTGCTGGGATCATCATAACACCCCTATTCATGTCCAAGCCTGAATTTGCTTTTCCTGAGCTGCAGTTAAGAAAAAACATAATAAGCTCTGTATTTATCAAGCAGCAAACCCGTAGGAAATTATAACCTTTTAAAATAAATATGTATCTAATTATAGGAAGGCACAGTTTACTTTTGCTGTGCCGTCAGGATTTCCCCTGCAAGCCACATCTACAGTAATGTTCCAAAGCCCCCCAAATCTCACTGGGCATTCACCTCAAAAATACCATCTCTGTTGGCCTCTCGGCAGGGAGCCAGGCTGTGCTGAAACCCCCTTCACCCCCAGCAGCTTGAGAGGAACCTGGGTCCCGGGTTTTCCTTTTAGAGCCAGAGGCCTGGCCCCTGGATTAACTCCCAGCCGTGGAGCCATCCCGCCCCGCCCCCACCCCAGACTGTCTGGCCTGCCCACAGGTCTTTGCCCAGCAGGACTTTCTGTGGTTGGCAGTTTTCTCCCTTACAGAAAAGTCAGGAGTCCCAGAGCAGAGCTGAGCCATCTTGGGGGAGGAGCTAAGGCTGGTGCTCCGCTCGGGCCACGTGCGCCCTCCACGCCTGCATCCCTAAGTCCACAGACAGTGAACACGATGTAGGGCCCACACGCACCATAAAGGAGTAGACAACGGGACTAAAGCCCACAAAACGCCAAGTGGAGCATGCGCACACAGTAGGGCTCCTATGTAGTAAATACGATCTATAGACAGCATGCACTTTCTACTAGAATTAGCTCACTCTAATTCATTCTAGCAAATGCTTATTAAGCACCTATTATGTGCCAGGTACTGCTATTCGCTGACTCACTTTCTCACCTGCTTCAAGTCTTTGCTAGAAAGTCACCTCTTCACTGAGGCCTCCCGGTCTGCCTTATTCAACAGCCGTCCCCTCCTGCCCAGCTCTGGGCTTGCCCACCCTCCCTTACTCTCTTGACTATTCCCCTACTTATCACCTTCTAGTGTACTAGGTTTTTTTTTTTTTAGCTTTTGTCTATTGTTTTTGTCTGTTCTCCCAACTAGAAGAGAAGCTCCATGACCAGGGTTGCGGGGAAGGGCTGTCTTGGTTTGTTCACGGCTGTGGCCCCGCTAGGCCAAGGCTGGGCACGTGCTCAGTTGGTTTTTGTTGGCTTGAACTAAGGTCATTGTTTTTGGCGAGGAACACATCCAGGTTAAGTTCCCTGTCCTCACTAGCTGGCTACATTGGGTTTGTGACATGACCTCACTCCCCACTTCTGTAAAGTCGAGTGTCCACGGGGATCCAAGGAGCGTGATGCCCGTGGAGCCCGGAACGCGGCTGGCACAGACACTCCTCAGTAACTAGCAGCTAGGCTGCTGAGGTCACGTTTGGAGTGGGAATTCAGGGGTTCATGGAGGCTTCAAGGCTCAGGAAAACCTGGGTTTGATTTCTGGTGCTGCCACTTCCTAGCTTTGTGACCTTAAGCAAATCACTTAACCTCTCTGAGTCTCTATTTCCTGTTTGTAAAATGGGGCTCAAACATCACACCCCTCACCTCAGAGTCACTGTGGCATGGTGTGAGGTGGTGCCCTGAAGCGGGCGCAGTGCCTGGCACGGAGCAGGCGTGCAGAGCGTACTGGCTCTTCCTTTCCCTCTTTCCACAGGGCTGGGCGTGCTGAGGAGCAGGCACCTGCCGGGCCCAGAGGCCAGGGCAGGGCAGGCACGCTGCCGAAGGGCCCTTGGTCTCTCTTCCTCCAGCCAGCCATCCCTCCTGTCCCCTCTGCCCCACTTACCCAGTCTGGGCCTGCAGGAGGTGCTCCCCGAGGATATTCCCACCTCCCCATACCTCCCCAAGTCAGCCCCCAGCCACCTCCTCCCAGCCTCAGCTCCCCCAGGGCCCCATCTCTCTGCTCACTTTGGCACTAATGGGCCCTACGTGTTTCCAAAATGAGATGATGGTTCCCCCAGAGCCCACAGCAAGTGCCAGAGGAAGTCTCTTAGGAAATGGATGGCCCCCCCAAGATTGGAGGTGGAGATGTTGCCTTGCTGGGGGCTGTAGATGCTTTTATACCTTTGAGGTAAAGAGGATGGGGAGGGGCTCTTGCTCAGAGCTGCAGCTGCCAATCAAGGATGGGGGGGCTCTGCTGGGTGGGAATCAGAACAGGTAGCCATGGCAACCTTCCCTGATGCTCCAAAACAGGAGATGCCCCTCAATCTTCTGTGTCCAGATGAGGCCCAGAAATGGCCAGTGGGGCCAACATTGGCTGTGGCCTTACTGACCTTCTGGGGCTGCCTCTCTTGAGGACTGTCCTGCACCCCGCTTCCCCAGCACAGAGTCCTGAAGCCTGATGCCCACTCACGAGCAACATGGGGAGTGCAAGGGGGAGGGGGAATGCATGCTGGAAACTTACTCACAATCCAAAGGTGGCACTCCCTTCCAAAGTAGGGACATGCCACTTGCCACATGGGCCTATGTCTACTTCCCCACGGCAGCTGCTGGTGGGCGCTGACTTGAAAGTGGCCCAGAGACAGTGTGTTTGTTCCAGAGCTCCAGGGCCCTCAGCCCGGGCGATGGCAGGACGTAGCAGGGGCCAGGACAGGCGCGGCAGGGGCCGTCTTCATGTCTGCCTGCCGCACTGGGCAGCCCTGAGCTGGGCAGATCCCCTCGGGTTGCAGCAGGTCACCGTGTGTTGTGTCCTCTGCTGGGCCCCCTATCTGCACTCTCTCATCCAAGCCCCAGAACCGACGGGGGGAGGTCTGTCTGTCAGGAGCGTTGTGCCCATTCTCCAGCCAATGCATTGAGGCTTAGTGAGGTCGGGCCCCTTTCCAAGGGCATACACAAGCAGCAGAGCAATTTTGTTTTTGTTTTTTTTCCTTTATTGAATTTAGAGAGAGAGGAAGGGAGAGGAAGAGAGAGATAGAAACATCAATGAGAGAGAACATCGATTGGCCGCCGACTGCATGCCCTCCACTAGGGATTGGGCCCACAGCCTGGGCATGTGCCCTGACCGGGAATAGAACCAGTGACCTCTTGGTGCAGCCACTGGGCCACACCGGACGGACAGCAGCAGAGCAGTTTTGAAAGCCAATTCAACCTCCTTCCAAAGCCCATTTTGCAGATGAAGAAACCAAGGCCAGGGGAGGCTAAGGCCACCAGCTAGTAAATATCAGAGCCATCAGGCGCTGAGGCCAAGAGCCTCCGCCCGGGGTCTGTGAACTTCAGTGAGAGAAACACAACTCAACGTTCACACACCTCTCACTAAAATGGAGCATTTCTTTCAAGTGTGAGCAACACACCAGATTAGCAGCACCTGTGACTTTGTCGCCAATCGAAACCACAGATACTTTAATGCCCCACTACTGTTGTGGCAGATACCTTGAAATACCGTTCCTGCCCAGCGCTCCTTTGAAATCACAGCAGTTATTAAACCCGATTTTAGGTCTTGTGATTTAATGCATTCGTAAGAAGCACATACATTGCTACAGCTCAATTTTTAAGTTGTTTTGATAACTGTCCTTTTAATGTAATTGGCTCGTTTTATTATCGTGCATATTTTATGCATTTAACAGCATTGTTCTGAGAAAGGGCCCACAGTGTTTAACAGCCCCGGGTCGTGGCACAGCAAAGGTTAAGATGCCTGTCCTGGAGCTTGTGGTCCTCACCACCTTCCCTGCCTCCCAGGTGCCCAGCCATGGAAGCCAGCTTGGACTAGCCTGGGGGCTGGGTACCTCGGGGTGAGACTGCCCCCTCCCTCCCTCCCTGGCTGACTCGCACCACCTTTTGCTATCCCGCAGCCACGGAGGAGTTAAAACGCCGAGTTCTCTGGAGAGCCCAATCTTCCTCTTTACAACCAAGTCAGGTTTGTGCCAGCTTCCAGGCACCAATTATGGGCCAGCTCTCTTGGACCAATTAAAATGTGCAGGTGCAATAATGTCGACATCAACAGTCTGGGGTTATCTCAGCAGATATTTTTCATGAAATATTTATCAGAGAGGCTGGAAATTTAACCCCTTCCGTGCAACGCCTCCCCCTCTGGCAGGGCTCGTGACCCCGGCAGTGCGAGCCAGCAGAGGGTGAGGGCAGAGAGGTGCCCCGTCCTGCAGCGAGGTGGGGGCTGGGGCCGAGAAAGTGCAGGAGTGGGTGTGAGGGGAACAGGACTTCTTTGAAGATCTTAAAAAAAAAAAGAACCTGTAGAATTAGATTAATCAGGAGGCTGGTGTTCTAGAAAGAGCCCCTGTGGGTTTCAGGAGACCCAGATTTTAGTCCAGACTGCTGTGCACTTGTAATGTTACCCCAGGCGAGCTGGTTGGGCCTCTCTGGGCCTTAGTGCCTTCATTACAAAAGAGAAGAAATGCCCCCACCCTGCCCACCTCACATGGCCTGGTGGGGATTACATGGCAGCGTGAAGGGGAGAGGCTTTGGGAATGGTTCCATGCTGCCCACGAGAAGGTTCCCTGCCAGGGTTCTGGCGCCAGGCAGCAGACCCGGGCTCCTGTGTCCGGGACTGGGGTGTTGATTGGCTGTACAGCGCCCGCATCTCGCACTGTGCTTGACCCAGTTGGCATTGAGTACATGTTTGTTGAATGAATAAGCAATCAGACTTGACCACTTTCTAGCTATGTGACGAGCTGTTAATGTCGGACAGCTTCAGTTTCTTCAGAGGTTGGGCTTTTGGTCCCAACCTTTCAGGGTTGACCTGAGGATGAATGAAAGACTTCCCCTGGTTATAAGGGCATTGTCTGTGAGACTGGACGAGCTCCCTTGGGACCTTCAGGACCCTCTTCTGGAGGGTCTCCTAAAGCCAGCAGAGACAGAATCATGGTGGCTGATGGTAATAATGGCCCCAGTTTTCATGCCTCACTGTATCCTTGCCTTCGAGTAGTACCCTCCACACTGACAATGGCTTGACCCTGTCACTTGTTTTGTCCAGTGAAACAGCCACAAAGTTGATGCAAACAGAGCTTGAAGAAGCTCTCGTTCATTTGCATGTCCCCCTTGCCTCTGTCACAGGAATGTTTCCAGGCAGCTTGCGGACAGGATCCAGGGACCTGTGGTGAAGAGTCAAGACATCCCAGACCAGCCCACAGCCAGGATCAGCAGAGCCATCTCCCACAGAGAACAGAAGAATCATCCTTCCACTCTACAGATTGTGAGGAAGGACAAATGGCTAGCATTTTAAGCCATTCATTTTAGGGGATGGTTTGTTATGCAGCAATAGCTAACTGATACAGTGATTATATCTGCCCCCCAGCCTCTTTGATCTTTGTATTCTCCATGAAGAGACAGAGCAACATCTGATGTCCTTCCTGCTGGTCACCAGAGCTGCTGCCAGAACAGAGAAGCAGTTTGCTACTAGTGTCAGACGGTCCCGGGATCCCAGCTGTGACCCACAGAGGCACCTTCAGGACTCTGGAAGTGGAGGGTCCAGCATCTCACCCAGGCTCCAGAGCTCAGTCCAGCAACTCCAAGGCTGAGACTTGCCCTGGGGCAAATTACTAAGCTAGTTACTTAATCACTCTGTGCCTCAACATCCCCATCTGCAAAAGCAGTTCCTGTGTCACAGGGCTGTGGTGAGGATTGGAAAGGATTTTGGATGTCAAGGGCATGGAACAGAAAGAGTGCTCGACATGACATTTTGGTTTTTTATTTGTGGTGATTGATGAACAGTCCTTCCCCCAAAAAGCCTCTGTTTCTTTCCATCAGCCCAGATTGCCGGCAGCCTTTGCCAGGACACCTCCCCAGTGGGGGGAGACAAGCTCGAATCTGGGGCCATGTGCGTTGAGCCGGCACAGATTTCACAAACACTGCAGTTTTTGCCGAGCCAAGTCTGCCAGTCACATAGGAACAAACGACACACAGGTTTGAACCACCACTAAAGCACGTTCACACCCATGCTCCTATTGGATAGGCTCTCAAGGATCCCGGTGGGGGTCAGGCCAGGGACCTAGCAGCCTCATTTTACAGATGAGGACACTGAGGCTCAGAGAGCTTCCCTGACTTGAGGGAGCTAGGATTTGGTCCCAGGGGGGCTGATACTGGAGGAGACCTACCTGCTGTGCTGGGCCACTCAGTCTCTCCCCCAGAGGCAAGTCTCGGCCTTGGAGATGCTGGGATTAGCTTTGGGATCCTCCAGTGAAGGGCTACACTGTCCCCTTCAAGAGTCCTGAAGGTCCCTCTGTGGTATATGATTTCACACCCCGAGGTGGGGAGACATCTCTTCCTCTCCCTGAGCCATTGAAGTAGTTTGGGAATTATGGTGGGAGATTCCTTTAGTATTTAGCATAATTTTAAAGCAACAAGCAGTCAGGCAGGGCCGTCCCTCTACACGGGCTGGCCCTCTGACCCAGGTGAGCCATCAGTAACAAGGCCATTCCCACAGAGGTCCCGCCCTATGCCCAGCTCGGAGACACCTGCTGAGCCTGGTTAGCTTGCAGCTGCCAACTCCGACTCTCCCCTTTCGGGAACCTTAACCTCACCCCCAGCTCACCAGGAGAAAACAGGCTAAGGAGGAGTCCAATTTATGTATGTATTCACCTGTTTACTTGGTTGCTTCTCTGTTGAAACCCAGCTCCAACCCAGCTCTTCTTCTTCCCCAAAAGTTGCTTTCAGAGTTTTCAGAGGAGACGGGAAGGTTGTTATGGCTTCAGGAAGGTCCAAAACACAACTTAAAACCAAAAGCAAGAACACAGCGCGGCAATAATATTGAAGCACACTGTGAGCAAGAACTGCCTGTGAACAGTTTTTGTGTTGGCTAATTCCCTTCCAGGTAGGTAGACTATGAAATAGGTGTCGCCAGAATGAATGTACCACGTCGCCGGCTGCTCTGTCCCTCACTGTCCTAACGCGAGCATCTTCCTTGTTGCAGCACGTCAAGGGGTGGTATTTCTACTGGTGGACTTTCAGTCACGAGAAAGTGATGGTTACAAAGACCAGATTGTTTCTTGGAATGCAGTGACGAGGCAGAACCTTTATCATTCTGTGGTTTGCAAAAATTGCAAACTGGCTCCCGGGCCTCAGGGGCCCCTGGAGCTCCCTGCCTGAGGGCAGAGCAAGGTACAGATGATCTCCAACTGGTCTAGGAAGTCGTGTGGCTGGGAAGTCTCAAGGACAGACAGAGTGTGTGCCCTGCTCCAGCCCTTCCTCGCTGACTGTGGGGCTGCCCCTGCTTCCGCTTTTCATCTCGGAGCCTCCGCTTTCCTGGAGCCCGAGAGCCTGGGAGGCCGGCGGCTCAGCTCCTCGCAGTGGGGACGGCGATGTGGGGGTGACAGCAGAAGGAAACAGTGTCAGAGGAGCACTTTGAGCTCTTCAGATGGGGGTCCCTTGCTGACCTGCTTGCTTTCGTGCTCTTGACCTTGACTTACACACATCTCATCTCATTTATCCTCATAACTGTCTTGAGATGGTGGAATTACCATCATCATTTCTGTTTTTGAAGTTGAAGAACCTGAAACCAGATTGAGTCGCTGCTTCAGAGATGATACGGTGAACGAGAGTTAGAGGGACCCTCTGAGCCTCCCGAGGCCCAGGTCTCGGTGGAGATGCGGAGCGTGATGCTGACGCTGCAGAGAGGAGCAGAAAGGGCAGGCAAGAGCGAGGGCCCGAGCCTCTGCTGGGAGGGAGAAGGGAGTGGGAACGGGGACTGTCGGGTGGGAGGAGGGGCGGAGACTAGCTGGTCTGGAGAACACTGCTAGGTCCTCTGTTCTCCCCTTTAGCCCCTTCAGGTCCCTGCATCTCCCTCGGACTGGCAAGATGGGGCAGTGGGACCCTTACTGACCATCTGGTCAAGGTCCCCCAGGCTCCTAACTTCTCCTGGCCAAGATCCCTTTAGCCTGTTTATCCATCCTGGCCTTCAGCCCATCAAAGGCCAAAGATTTTGTTTTGGAAACTGTCCATTTGCTTTTCTGCTTCCTGAGGCCCGTCCTGAAGGGCTCACAGTGATCAACCCCCAAAGTCAGGGCTGAGCTTCTGCAGAGGGAGGTAGAAGCTCCTGGGGCCCAAGAGCCAGGCCAGGCCTCTCTGACCTGTAAGGATGCAGGAGGCAGGAGTCTTAGGGATTCTTAACTATGGGGCAGACCTAGGGTAGGTAGCACCAGCCCCCGGAACGTGACTTCTTTGAGCAAGAAGAGGAAGCTTGCTGTGGGGGGTGGAGGTGGGGGCCACAAAGGGCTCTGGAAAAGCCCTCATGAGCTGGGACTCTGAGTGGCTCTGAGTTTCTTCTCGAGCCTCTGCCCCTGAACCTTCAGGGCTTCAGTTGGCTGCTGTACAAAATTCGTACATTGAATATTATTCGAGTGACAGGTGACAGGTACTACCTCAGGTTTGGGCACATCACAGGTAAAAAAAAGCCTGTTCTCGCCTGGCCGGTGTGGCTCAGTGGTTGAGCGCTGACCCAAACACCAAGAGGTCCCTGGTTCAATTCCTGGTCGGGGCACATGCCCAGGTTGTGGGCCTGATCCCCAGTGGGAGGCATGCAGGGGGCGGCCAATCGATGTTCTCTCTCATTGATGTTTCCATCTCTCTCCCTCTCACTTCCTCTCTCTCTAAAATCAATAAAGGAAAAAAAAAAGAAGAAGAAGAAGCAGCCTGTTCTCTTGAAGCTGCTGTCCCAGTGAAGAGAAGACAGGTGTGCTGCTGCCTGCCTCGCTCACCAGGAGTCCCTTGTGATCTCGTCCTACTACCTCCTCTTACAGAGAAGCAGACCCTGAGGGAAAAGGACTTGCCCAGGGTCGTACAGCAAACCTCTGACCCCAGGTGTCCTGGCTGCCACCCAGCAGGGTCCCATTACCCTGGGCTGCTTGCAGGAGTTAGAGTAGGCGAAAACACCTCTGTCAGGGTTGCTAAGCCTGTGATTGGAGGGAAGAGGTAGCTTTGAAAGCCCTGGCAGCAGCTGCTGGCTGCCTCCTTCAGCCAAGGAGCTTGGCAAGGGGCTGTTGGTCCCCCGTCTGGGTCCTACCCCCTTCCGTCACTTACAGCGTGGACCAGATGGGGCTTGGAGGTGATGGAAGGCATAGGGATGGGGTGTGGGCTCCCTCTTGGCTCTGGGAGCCTCCTGCTCGGCAGAGACAGGCCTCGAGGGAGGCCCAGATCTGAGGGCTGCCTCCTCGGCTGGGGCTGAGCCCAGGTCTTCTTCGGGCAGGACCATGACTGGCCAGTCCTGAGGAGCCTCTTCCAGCCCTGAGAGCTGATCTCGGGCTCCTTACTACAGACCATTAGCAGCATTTTTCCCTGTGATTGCATTTTTACAGCCCACAGCTCCTCTGGATAGCATTTTCCCCGTTAAATCAGATGTTTTGCAAAAAAATAAAAGAGAGAGGGGAAAAATGAGAAAAAAAGAGAAATCATAGTCATAACCATAAATTGTAAGTCATGTTCCTGTAAGCAGACGGCTTCCCGGGCTCTGGGTCGGAGGCGTGTGTGGGACACCGTGCCATAATGAGGTGACGGGCGCCAGGTCTTCCCGGGGGTCTTCCATCAGGAGACATTTCGCAGTGTGCTTCTGGAGCACTTCCGCCTTGGGGAGGGGAGCACTTCACCGGCCGGCGGGGGGGCAGGCAAGGCCGCCAGTAAAAATGAGTCAGGACACGGAGTGACGTTCGTTGCCTCAAACCATGCTGATGACCCCGTACCGAGGGGGAGTGCTGTCCAGGATCCCCCAAGCTGGGTTTCCGGAGGATTCAGAGTCCTCGTCCTCTGGGTACCAAGAAGCCTGGGTGTTCCTATGGCCCATCATGCCTGCTTATGACCAGCATTCTTTATGGATGAGAGAACCCACATGGGCACGCATGGGAGCTCCCCGCTCTCCTGTGAGCGGAAATAAATCAACGGCAGAAGGACTTACGAAAATTCAAAGAGGAGAATTTAAAAGGAGGCTCTGGATAAACATAAACTATAAAGTGCTTTAGCACTTGGAAGAGGGCTTGGGCTCTGAAGAAAGGGAGGAAAGGGTAGTTAAATGTTTATGAGCAAGTGGCAGATCTTCCTACTCAGACTTGAAGGAGAGGAAATAAGCACAGAGAAGTTCAGAGACTTGCCTCAGGCCACTCAGCAACTCCAGGTCCAAGGGCTTCTGGTTCATGAAGTCAGGAGTCATTCATCCTAGTGGCTCATCAGCAAGACGTCCTGAGCCCTGCTGGGGACCAGCCCCTGGCCTTGGACGTGGCAGCAGAGGATGACGCTCCACCCCTGCCTTCAGAAGGCCATGGGTCAGCAAGGAAGAAAGAGCAGTCCATGTGCCTGGTAAAGAGCACGGTTTCTGCTCGATCCACTGCCGTGGTTTGCTCCTGAGGGATCTGAGGCAGCAGAAAAAATGTACCGCAGACAGGGATCAAGATTCGGGGGTGGACTGGGGACAATGAGAGAGATGGTCTCTGTGTTTTGGGGCAGGGGAAATGGTGGCGGAACTCAACAGACTCCTCTTTATCATGCTTCAGCTTGCTCTTGGAAGATAAACGGGAGTTTACCCGGAACAGAGGACTCAAAAGATGCTCCAGGTGAGGGAGAAAGTCCGTGCCGAGGCCGGAGACGGGAAAGAGCAGGGCACGTGACTAACGGCGAGCGGTCCAGTGGCTGCCGTGCGGGTGGCGAGCAGGCAGCTGGGGAGGCCAGCGGAGGCCAGGCTGGGAGGAGGCAGAGACGGACCCTAGGAAGAGGTGTCATCATGAGGTGGGCATTCTGGAAAGCTCTCCCCCACTGTAGTGAGACTAGGAGGCCGGAGGCCAGGCAGTGGCCTGGCGGGAGGGAGGGAGGGAGGGCACTGGCAGGGGGGACAAGGATGAAGGGAAGCTTTGATGGAGACGTTCCCACGGAAGGGACGGACAGGCTTTGGGGGGTGAGGAAGGCTATTTCCCGGCTGCCTGTGAGGCTCCAGTTTAGGGAGAACCCAGGTAGGTGGTCACAGTATTAACTTTGGGGCTTCCTGACCTCCGGCCTGGTCCACCATCGCTGAATCTCTCTTCCTCCCTCTTCCTCCCTCTTCTCTCCCATTAAGAAACCCAAGTACTGTAACAATTTGGGAGTTTAGTAGAGGTAGGTTCTAATCCCAACTCCTTTGTTACCAGCTGTGAAACCTCGAGCAAGTCCCTGCCCTTCTCTGAGCCTCTGGGCTCCAGTGTCATCTGGAAAGGAGACAAGGCAGGGCCACCTTGAGGATTACAAACGATGTGCTTGTTTCAGGTGGGTCCCAGCAGGAAACAGCTCACTCAAACTGAGTAACGGGGAGAGTTTAATAAAGAGACTGTTTATAGAGCTCTGGGTGGGACATGGGGAAATCTCCAGGGACCACCCCCAGGCCTGTGTGGGGACGGCCGCCTGGCAGGAGCTGAGACTTCAGCACAGGGGCGGCAGCCTCCCTTTACCATTGCAGTGCTGAGCCCCGCCCCAGGCCAGCTGCCCAGGAGACTGGGTACGGCAGAAGCAGGGGGTAGCCCCAGCAAGCAGAGGTGGGAGGTCGGTATGGATTCACATCTTGACCCCAGCCTCCTTGACCCAGGCCAAGGCAAGCTGCTGACACAAAACTACATGTATCCAAAGCTCTCGGCACCAGGACCTGAAATCACCTTCATCTCTTTCCATGCTCCATCTCTCTACCCCCTTTCCTTTCGTTTATCTCTTGACCCCCCCTTCCCCTTCCTCCTCCTCCTTCCCCCTCTGTCCTTCTCTCCCAGGTCCCCCACTTTTGACCTTCCTAACAGCCAACACCTTAATAGAACCACTCTCCTTCAGAATTGCCCTCACTTTGCACTTAACA